GGGAGCGCGGCTCCCTGCCGGGCGAGCTAAGGCGTCGCCGAAGGGCTTCCCCTCCGGATCCGCCTCAGCTGTGCTGCGCTCTCTACCCCACTTACCTTAGGGAGGAATCAGCTGTTGCTGCCCCCGCCTCCGCGCCTCCGCCGAGGTAAGCAGGTACACGTGTGGGTGGCACACGTGCACCCTGCTCCCCTCGCTCCTGCTCCCCAACTGCCGGTGGGATTTCAAACCGCGGCCTTTTAAAGCACGCGGTTTGAAATTCCCGCGATTTTCCCTTAGCCAATCACTCGTTCCGGCTAGCCCGGAACTGCGTGCTCTGGGCCCCGCCCCCTCCCAACCCTCTCCCTAGACTCCCGGGGTGGAGGCCGTGGTGGGGCAGGGCAACAGAAATGTCAAACCCTGACCAGCATGATCATGGAGTCCACCTGGCTCCATTGCCCTGGGTTCACATGTAGGTCTTGGGTTCTCCACCCAAGCCATGTGCCTCTGGGGAGGAGCCCTGCACAATGGAGCCAGTGGCCCAGCCCCACTCACTGCTATGTGCAGGTCATGGGGAATGGCAGGGAGCTCTGTACTATGGAGCCAAGCCAGCTCCACCCCTTTCCTGGCCAAGCTCCATGATCTACACCGCCAACTTCATCACGGTGGGCTCCTCCCGGCAGTATGGGGCTCGGACATGTGAGCCCTATGTGATGGAGCTGCTAGCCTGGCCACATTCAGTCCTGGGGCCTGCAGGAACCATGCACTGCCAGGGGGCTCCGCCTACTGCTGCTTGCAGGGGCTGTGCACAATGTGGGGGGGCATGTTCATAGAGGGGTCCACACACACACCCCACCATACACATGCACTCACATCACACACACACACACACACACACCCCCTCCCCCTCCACACACCTCGCATTCCCCCACAAACCCCATACCTACCCAGACACAACCACACATCCCCATGAACATACCCCCAGAAACCCTCCCATACTCACCTCCCCACACCCCACATACACACACACTCACAGCCTCCCACAAACCCCATACTCACCCCCCACATACACATCCACACCCTCACCCACACCCCACATACACACAAACTGCCTTCCCAAAAGGAGTGCTTTTGGGGGCAAGGGGAGGGACGTCTGGTGGCAAAGGTCAGGGTTTAGGGGTGGCACTTCCAGCCCCAAGATGGCAGAGCACCTGTCAAGGGCCAGGGTTACCCTTGCAGCCCTTGACAGCTCACCAAAACTCATTAAGCAGTCCTCCAGCTGAAATAATTGCCCACCTCTGAGCCTGACTATTCTCAGTGGTGGCAGATGACAGAACAAGGTGCAACTGTCTCAAGTTGTGGCAAGGGAAATTGAGGTTAGATATTAAGAAAAACTTCCTCACTTGGAGGGTAGTAAAGCACTGGAACAGGTTATCCAAAGAGATTGTGGAATCTCCATCCTTAGAGATTTTTAAGATCTGGGTAGACAAAGCCTTGGCTGGGACGATCTAGTTGGGGCTGGTCCTGCTATGAGCAGGGGGTTGGACGAGGTGACCTCCTGAGGTCCCTTCCAACTCTCATTTTCTATGATTCTAAATCTAAACTCCTGCATGTGGGATGGAATCATTTCATGCACAAATAGAGACTGAGGAATATCTGGTTTGTCTGCAGTACTATAGAGAAGGGACCTGAAGGTTACAGTAGAATAAGCCAACAGTAGGCTCTTGTTGCAAAAAATCCAACAGCATACTGGGTCGTATTAACAGAAGTGTCACATTCAAATCAAAGGAAGTGATTCTTCTGGTCTATTCAGCACTGGTAGGGCCTCACCTGGAGTACTGTGTACACTTTTGAGCCCCACTCTTCAAGAAGGATGTGGACAGAAAGGAAAGGGTCCAGCACACAGCAACAAAAATGATAAAAAATGATCGGAGACCTGGAAAGCATGACTTATGAGGAAAGGTCAGAGAAGACTGAAGAGGGATTTGAAAACAGTCTTCAAATACTTCAAGGGTGATTCAAGGATGGAGATGGGCTTTTCCCTGTGGATGTAGTGGACAGGACCTGAAACAGCAGCCTCAAACTGCAGCAGAGGAAATTTAAAACTGGAGATTAGGAAGAAATGTTTTCCTATGAGGGTGGTTAAGTGCTAGAACAGGCTACCTAGAGGAGCTGTGTAATCTCCATCCTTGGAAATTTGAAAGCAGATTGAACAGGTACTTAGCTGGGATAGTTTAGTCAGGGACAGTCTTGCCTTGAGCAGGAAGCTGGACTAGATGAATTCTGAGATTCCTTCCAGCCCTGTTTTCCTATGATAAGAACACCAGGTGCCATCATACCTCAGTTCCTAAGATATACATAGAAAAAATGCAAGCCTCTAGTCTGCCTGGGGAAAGCAGATATTCCAAGAGAACAGCAGATTCACAAGAAGGATGGAAACAAAGCAGGTAGAATCTAAATGTCTGTGCAGTGTCTCCATTTGGCACACATTTGAGGAGTGATACACCAGTAGCATCTTCAGGTTTGTCTACTCTACTGATAAAATAAATTCAAGGGCTCCTATGTTTCATGCTGAATCAATAGGTCCTTGGCTCCTGAAGAAGACATGAACCTAGTAAGCAAGTCCATGCCTGGCTTTCATACCAATATTTGAGGGTAATGCCTGAGAATAACTGTAACTGAAGGCAACTGAATGTAAATGGAACACTTTTTCTGGGGAGGAGGCTGGCAGACGACTGGTCCATTTTATATCAGAAGTACAAAACCTATTCCTGTTATTACAAAAGGAACTTGTTTGCTTGTTTCTCTAAAAAACACCCAACAACCACACCCCCCCCCCCCCCCCCCCAGTAAATGGACTAAAATTCTTAAAAGATAATCTCTGTAGTGAATCTTTTGTGTAGCACTTCAAATGACATCAAAAGCTGGCCAGCCAACCCAAAGTTATATGAATTGGATATGGATTTACTCACTTCAGGGTCCGCAGAGAGACACCTCTGTGCTCTTTCACCCCAAGACCTCCTTGTTCTATATTTCAAGATAGATTAAACTTCTTTTTTCAAATGAAAATGCTGTTTAGAGATGATTCCTCTGAAAATACCCTATTAGAAGAAAATAAGGCTCAGTTTTCATTGCCCCTGGTCTCCTACATTCTGAAATGCCGGCCATCCTCCTGGAATGGATACTTTGGGCCAATGCTGTGACTGCTTGTCACACCAAAGTTCATGGTACAAAATCAAAATCAGACTAACCTCTGAATACTTCTTCCTTCATCACGGCCCCTTTATTCCTTAGATAGATCATAACTCTCCCATCATGAATTACCCTGTTGTAATCAAGAGAGGGATTCCAACCTAGTACAGTTCGGGATTGACACGACACCTAATTTGATTAATGACAGAAAAGCTTTAATAACAATACCACAAATGAGCTATAAAACTAAATGACAGAAAAAGACTCCTTCTCAATATTCAGCAAATGAACCATCACAAAAGTCCTAGCATATGTTAACTGCAAGAGTCTCTCATCAATGCAGGCAGGAAGCGGTTTCCAGTCTTGTCATTCTTCACTGAGCGCGGATCCGTCACCCAGGAGAGATCAGCTGGGTGCAGGTACAATGTTGTAATGATTTCTCTCTCTCTCTCTCTCTAAGAGTGCACACTTTGCTGGCAACTCTGTTTCATTCTTGTACTGTTCAATACTACGGTTTCGAAGCATTCCTCCTTGATAGTTGGTCAATTAATGTCCCGACCAAGCAGGTAGGAAGGGATCATCACGCTACAATTGCGCTAACTGCTCAGATCCTGTTTTGGGTTGTCCAGGTGTGAAACTTGTTTTTACAAGTTTTTTGTTTTGTTTTTTTAATCAGTCCAGAGGTGAAACTTCAAACAAATGATGATGGGTCTTGATTGACTGAACAGGATACCTTGGGGCATTGATTACAGGATACTGTTTTAGGTAGTCGTTTTAACAGTGAGGTAGAATCCACAATAGTCTGCACTGGTGATGGTCTATGGAGACATCTGCAAAACCCCAGACAGAAACTGAATGCCTGTTCCAAGAAATATGCTTTGATCAAGGGAGGATTTGTCAACAAGGAAGTATAGCCATGCAGGGATATGCAGTTATTTATGAATGGTTTAGCATAATAAAACATTAGGTACATTTGCTACTAGCACAGGAGATTAGACCAATTGGGATTGCTTTATTTCTCATGGTTGCAGTCACGATTTTGTATTCTTATGCAAGATGCACTGTTATTTTAATTTGGTCACTTAAATTTCATGTGTAGGTCTCCAGCTAAGCTTTCACAGTCATCACACCCCAATGTATCTAGCTTTCTTCCTCACCTGTACCCCTGAGGTGTGAAAATATTAGTCATCTTCAGAAAATTTTCATGTAAAATTCTTTCCTAAAATCCAACTCCACATGTCCCTCTTAGAGCATTTAGGATTCTCCATAAGCTTGCCCTAGGCTTTCCACTCCACCACTGTGAACTCAACTCTTTCCATCATTCAGATCATTTTCTAACATCCCTTCAAAGCATCTGGTTATTTCTTTTTTCTTCTCTATGTGTCATTCCCCGCAGCTCCACAGACTTCTGTGAAGCAGCTCCCACTATCCTGAACATCTCAGCCCTGCTGTTCCTATCAACCCTTCACTAAATTGTGGAGAAGGTAGGGTGGGTTGGCACCTTACAGATGAACTCATTCTATATTGCATAAATAATATTCATCCGTTTCTGTCAGGTCAGAAGGAAGATACCTGAGCAGTTTTGCATTCAAACTGATTGCAGTCTGTTTTCATTCATCTGGGTATGGTGCTTTCCATGGTAGAGAGGTGGACTTTGTTTCATTTAGCCTGTAAGGACACTTTCACACATGCTCCGGAGGTGGGGAGGGGGTGCATTTTAATTACAGCAGCTCCGAGAGCCACTCTAATTAAAGCACAGGCATGTTTCGTGTATCAGCATCCTTGTGCTCAGTATGTGTCATAATTAAAATAAGTAGTTAGCCGTGTTAGCCTGAAGTCAAGCAGAAGGCAGGGTGCACCTTATAGACTAACTAAATTACAGATATATATAGTATAAGCTTGTGTGTGCTGGCGCTCACTTAATCAGATGCTGTGAAAGGATGTGTACAGAGCAGCGTACAAAATGGAGAGAATGCTTTGAATACAAAAGGCAGAAAGGGTGAGGGAGAAGAGGAAGGGGTACAGTGCTCAGAGAGGCAAGCAAGCAAAGAACCCATAGGAACAAAAGGGTTTTAAAAACTAATCCAGGTAATGGGCTAAGAATCCACAATCCCTTTTTAAAGCATACTTAACACAATCGAGTTTATGGACGATTTCTTGTTGGGCAATTCCCATTCAAGATGGTTTTTAAAGACTTTCTGCCTAAGAACAGCTACCCTGAGGTCAGCAGTGGAAGGTCCAGGGAGGTTAAAGTGCTCTGCTATGCCCTTTGGCAGGCCCCTCCCCTCTCCTTCCCTTCCCTTGTATTCAAATCATGGGGCATGTCATCACAAGATGCTTTACTGCACATTAGACTAATCTTGGTGGTAGGAGAATTAAAGGATTACTGGTACTCTGGGCAACAGCAAACACGACCTCATTAGGTTCACCATCCACTGTAAGACTGGGAAGTCAATCAGCAGAACAGAAGTCCTAGATTTCAGAAAGGCAGACTTTGGCAAACTCAGGAGGCTAGTCGGAGAGGCCCTCTGTGACCAGCGACTGGATGATTTGGGAATTCAGGAATGGTGGTGCTTCCTTAAGGAGACAATTCTCACTGCCCAAAAACAGGCAATGCAGACAAAAAGCGGGACATTATTCCAGTTCTGTATCTTTGGTTTGAATACGAAGTGTATAAAGAGACAAGCTCATAAAATAGTCTCTAGTCCCTTTCTCTAATCACAAAACAAGTAGTAAGGTCACTGAAACTTATGACCTGTGTCACATAGCATTCATTCCATAGGTTGCTACTATGTTTTCCCTTTTAGTTTTATGAGAATTAAATATAAGTAAAAACTGCAAAGAAACCCCTGTCCAAAAGTAATATGAAGAAAAGAATAGCAACCCCCCCCCCCATATCAATGGTCTCCGAACATAACTCCAACCTTAGAATCCACATGGTTTCTGATTGCCCAATTATTTTTTTCTTAGAATAGTGCTTTTATGCCATAGTCTGTTGGGACACTGTGACATTTCCATTGTGTAAAAGTCCAATACAACCTATTCAAGCTCTCTCTCATTTTCAACTTTTGCATTAATTTCAATGCTTATAGTAAAGGTAACACCACTTCTTGCTCAAGACCCATTAGTTTGTTCGGTGGGGAGAGGGGCTTGAAGCCGGAAGTAAACATTTTGTTTACATAAACCTCTGTGATTTTTTTTTTAGTCTTTAGATTTACAAAGCATTTCAACCAAGCAAAACAATGGTAGGAATTGGGCTGGATAAGCATTTTCCAATTATTTGTAAAAGATGAGAGTGAAGAACAATTTCCAGGTTTTTCCAGGGTTTTTTTTTTCCCAAGACCCACGGTCCTGCTACCCAGAGATTCTTGGGCTTAACCAAATATTCCCTTCCCTATCACTCAGCATTCAGCATCTAAGGGATTTAAGTCTACATGCATTACACTAATGAGTTCATCTTAAATCTTTCACCACCATGAAGGCATATCTTTTAGGAGGGGGAAAGAGTATGTAAAAATACACACGTATTTATAAAGAAAAAATCCACGTGCCTCCTTCTACCTGCCAAACCAACTGTACTCCCATCTACTTTCTCTCCTATTTTACTTAATACCAGGAAATGTAGCTTTTTCCACTGACAATTTAGCAGAAACAGAGCTAAGTAATTTAGTTGGAGCAGCCCGCAGACACAGATAGTTCAGAGAGGGCAAAACAGCCCTAAAGGACTGTGTGGCTTTCATCCTTGAGTTCATTCATTCCAAATGAGACAAAGCTAACTCCTTTTGATGTTTCTTTGTGCACTAATGTGCAACTGGGAAGCAACGGCTTCACGTGTAGCCCACTCTCTGCATTCATTAACGGTTCACAAGGTAGAGCCATCCTTCCTGATAGGTCTTTAGCACAGGCTAGCAGCCATAGGAGCTCTCTCTTTATGTGACACAGACACATCCCTAGGCAGGAAGAGGACTAAGGACTTGACATTGACATTTTAGAAACTAAGGACCCCTGCTTAGATTTTGCATATTCATGTCTGCTAAATGCCGGTAGGATCTTTCTTCCATCCAAGAGAAGAATTTAGCCTGAAAAACCCCAAACTTAATTGCGATCCTGGACATGAATCTCACCTCTATTGACAACTTCCTGTCTTGCTTTATAACCCACAGTGTTTAATCATTTCCATTCATAACAAAGATAATGTTATTGTCTTCTCATCCATGATGAAATAGAGCCCTAGGCTTTTATAAGTGCTCAGTCCTGCAGTCTCTCAAATCACACAATCCCAATGCAATCAGTAACAGTTTGGCACATAGAAACTTGAATAGGTTTCAGTGACTAACTCCCCATTTTCTCCCTTAGTATACCGTAGGTGTATAGGGGAATTAAAGAAAAAATCCTTGCACTGGAAGCTGGAACCAGGCAAACTCAGTCAGTTTAAGCGGTTGTGCCTCGCAAGGGGCTTCAAGAAATTCATTGAAAGTCATTAATCTTTCAGAAGAGCCCGGGTCACTTCTGGATTCCACATGTGTAAGCAATTGCTTGCCTGCCTACAAGGCAGCTGGCCCATTTCCCCAGCCGGGGAGGAGTCAGTGCATAGTTTTGCTCTTCGACATAAAACTTAGGCAAAAAGGCAAAAGCGAACTGTTCCACTACTCACTCTGGGCCACTGCTCCAAGATCTTTTCTTTCAGTCTCCTGCTTTCCAGTTGCCATTTTTACAGCAGTAATCCCCAAGTATTACAAGGATATATATAATTAAGGTGGACCCTAAATTAATGGGTGTTGTCTGGGTCTGGCTGCCCCCTGAACCTCTGGCCTTTACAAGATTAGGCTCCTGTTACCATATAGATACTCACTCAGCAGAATGCTAGAGGCTTTCCATGTTTCAGTTGGAGGGGGCAAGTTCTTTCAAATCATCTGTCTGCTTGACACTCAGCAAATGGGGGGCATACACAAAACCACAAAGAGAGAAGATGAATAAACTTTTCATGCAAGATGAAATCCTGGCACCTTTGAAGTCAGAGGGAAACTACCATTGATACCAATGAGACAAGGACTTCATTTGTGAAGTGAAACTCCTGAGTTCCACTCTGCTCAAATTATTTTCTCTGCTACATGAGCCATGCTTTATTAAAAAAAAAATTTTAAAAATCTGTGAACAAAATCTGTTGGGCAAGCCACCAAAAGTGACAGTCATTCTCATGCTGGCTTCCGATGTTATCCAACAGCTGGAAGATGGGCTCCTATGTGGAATGTCCTTTTGCCTGCTGGCAGGAAAGGATCTTGTCCTTGAAAACCATTTGGCTTTTATTTATTTATTTGTTTATTTTATTAAATCTGTCACTGAACTACTCAGGGATGCTTCAGAGGGTACATGTAACCTTTGTGCCTGTTGCTGCTGCCATCACGCATCCATCTTATAGCGATATTTAAAACTTCAGGCTCATCTGTCACAGTTCTGCTATCCTTTCAGGTGACTTCCAAAGAGCTGAAAGGTTGCAGTAGAAATGTGGAAGTGATACAGAGCGATGATCTTCTGTGCCTTGCCCAGCTCTTCTTCGCCTTAAGTTTTAATCTATTTTTCCCTCAAATCTGAAAAGGTAGAGAAAATTTTCCTGTGAAAAAATAAGCCCTTATATAACATGCTGCAACAGGTCTATGTCCTTACCCTCCAAGCTCCCACAGCACCCATTTAATTCAAGAGATCCATCGTTAACTGTGTACATCCTTGTCATTCTTGGGCACTATTGCTCACACCAATGAAAGAGAAGGGAGAAGACCTAAGCATGCAACTGTTATTCATGTCAGCAATTCTCCAACAAGTATCCTCTCGGACTTCAACAGAACTACTCATCTAGTGTAAAATTTACTCACTGCCAAGAATTGCTGGATTGGGCCATGTATACTTCTGCACAAGTCTCCATTCAGCAAAGCACTTAAGTACACTCCTAACTTGAAGCAGCTGAGTGACCTCAGCAAGTCAGTGGAATTGTTCCTGCTTAAGGTTGCACCCAGGCTTAAGCATTTGACTGATTCAGGAGCTGAGAGCAGGATCTTCTACTGTCAAAGCAGTGCCAATGAATTCAAAGGGAGCTGAACGAGGCCCCATGAGAGCATAGAACAAATAGCAAGACAGAATTAACTGACTTGGCACCTTAAATCGTTGTTTCCTACCAACTTGTATTAACATAGGTACTGGGGATGTTTTTGTTTGTTTGTTTTACCAAAAAACTGCAAACTTGCAACAAGGAAATATCCTTTTCCTAAGGGAGTGGGACTGTTAGGCTGTCGCTCTCTTTCATTTCACAGTGTGCATCAAGGTTCTTAGCACAATTACAGCTGCAAAATTCACCTTCCAGTGGTGGTTTGCACTGTTAGTCTTTCTACTCTGGAGCTGGAAAAAGAGAAAAGATGGACAGTGGCATACTGCCAGGTCTGTCCATGTTAGATCTGGATTCTAAATTGGCTTCTGTCTCTCATCAAAATTGGAATCAAAGTTAAGCGAGAGCTGAGGGAAAGTTTAACCACTGAGCATTACACAATGAATCCCAATGGGTATAAACTGGTACTGTGTTAAAATCCCCTAGGATCTAAATATAATATTTCTGGCACAAATCCAAACTCATTATTTTTAGTCTTAGATCACCAGAAGTTTAAATGGTATCTTGTAGGCCTATTACTTAACCAAACTTCAAATGAATTTGACCCTTTTGAGAAGCCCCATCTTCCAGTTATTGGGAACCAGGGACCTGTTTTGATCTTTGATCTAGAAAGGAATCAGCTTCTCACACATTTGAAGTGGGGGGCAGAGGGGAAGGGCTTATTTTCATTTTCTTGCCCTTGGCAGAAATTTTACTACAGCATAAAAGATTCGCTTTGGGCCAGGTCTCTCAGTTTTAAAGCATCACTTTGAAAGCAAAATTAGAGCAGACAGTGCAAGAGAGAGTTATGCCATGCCTTAATACAGGGGCAGGCAAAATATGGCCCACAGGCCAGATCCAACCCACCAAGCACTTTCACCCGGCCCATAGTGCCCACCAACAAATTGTGCCCCTCCCAGCCCTTCCACCCACAAGGGTGGGAGCAAGGCACCCACATGTACGCACACCCCAAAACATACCCTATTGCACCTCGCTCCAACCCTCGTGGGCAGAATGGCCCAGCCTCACCAGCACAGCTTCAAGGCAGGGCTGCTGCTGTCACTGCTGCAGCCCCTGGGGACCTGCTCCGCTACTCTGGTCTCCTGATGGCTCTGGGCAGAAGGTAAGGAAGTGGCATGGGTGGGGGTGGGGGCAAGACTGCAGCTGGGTGGGAGCATGAAGCGTGGGGCTGGGGCTGGTGGCAGTACAAATCCCATGCTCAGGGGGGTGGTGGCAGCAGAGCAGAGCTCGGGTGGGCAGCATGTGGGTGTGAAGGATGAGGGATGAGGGATGTGGGACCCCCCCCCCAAACTCCTCCCATGGTGCGCAGCCCTGGCAGGCTGTGGCACTGACAGCAACAGCATGCGGGGTGCTCAGTCACGGTGCTCGTGCCCAGCACAGGCGCCAGGCAGGGTGTGGCTCCAGACAGTGCTGTACATTGCAGCGAGGAGCACAACCTCGCTGAGCAGCCTCTATCACCAATGCTCCCCATGCACATGTGCAGCTCTCACACTCACCCAGCATGAAAGGGAAGCCCCAGGTGCTGGAGCCAACTGCCTTCCCCACTGGGGCTGCACGGCAGAGGAGGGAATCCCCAGGAGCTTTCCCCTGAGGGGCAGAGAAGGCATCTGGCTCCAGCACCTGGGGCTTCCCTCCAGTGCCTAGTGAGTGTGGGGAGTGATGCAGACTGCCTGGTCAGGGGCTGTGCCCCTCACCATGATGTGCAGGGCTGGCTGGAGCCCTGCCCCACTGGACACCAGCACCCTAAGCATCCTCACCTGGTGCTAGTGTCCCACTGGGGGGAGTGCAGGGGTCCCCCCACCCTACCTCACCATCCCTCACACCCTACAAACCCCATATACCCATACCCTGCCCCCATAACCCCCCCACATACCATATGCCCCCACACACACAGCCACACCCTACCATACATACACATACCACAATATTCAAGACTAAGAATTTATTTTGAGTTATTATGCAATCACCTCTATATACAGTACACAACAAATCATGACAAAATATTTTTGTAATAAAATTTAAATATGTTATAGTAGGTGTTTGACTTTTAATGATTTGGTTTTTTTCTGGTTCTAAAATAGCAGCCCCCCCCCCACCAAGTATTTCTGGAGGGGCAAGGGGAAGGACTTACGATGGTAAAGGTCAGGGCTTAGGGGTGGGGCAACTGTCAAAGGAGCAGAGCTACCTATGCAGCCCTTGACAACTCACCAAAACTCACTCCTGTCTTAGCAGATAAGCACATAGGACTACACAGTTCATGCTGGGTAATGCTGCTTTAAGGATCCATTTCTTTCACAGGTCAGAGCAAAGCCCATGCTATAATGGGGACAGTACATAACACGAATATAAAGCATGATGACTGGTGAATTAAAAATGCTTTTAGGTTGGATAGTGAACTTGAGCTGAGCTGGGAATCTGAATAGATATGCAGCAGGTTGCTATGACGTATGAATTATATCTCTCTCGGGCTATATAAGATGTGTTTATTGGCATAAGCTGGGGACCACTAAGTTTGCTACATCCCCTCATTTCTAGAATTCAGCACACAAAGAGCAATTGCAAAAGGGCCATATCTGCTTCACACTGGTGCTGCCAGGCCCCAAGCAAGGAGATGGGGGAGTTATGCTTACTCTTCTTTGAAATCAGCTTACCAGCTTCCCAACAAAAAAAAGGATTGAGAGCACAACAGATAGTAAAATTTGATCATGACTGAGTGCATGCAGTCATGCGTAGATGCATACAGACTGCCATGATGGAAAAGACTAGGGGTGTGTTAACAGCAGACCGATGCTAATCAGGTAAAAGGCATACAAACTATGCATACAGCAGTCACTTAATGCACCACTGAAATGTAGCCATCTCTGGAGATGAATGCTACAGCCAACTGAAGCTGTCACTTCCTATTATTTCATAAGTGAGTGCTCCCTTTTTGAGAAACATGCAAAGAATCACATTTTGGAACAGTGAACTGATAAATACTTTTAGCTTCCTGCAAGGTACTTGCATATATGCTTGATATTTCTATAGGCATGCACACATGGATGAACAATACTGCATCAACTGTGCCTATAGTAGCACAGCTAGCCATCACCTTGTGTTATGCCTCCTAGACTACTCATTTGTGCAGTTATATTAAAATTTGTTTCCTGGTCCTGCTTACCGTGAATGCCCTGGAGACAACTGAATTAGTGGGAAGGCAGGCTGTTGCCATACCCTAGTAGTTCAGGATGGAGTTGCCTGGTTGCAATTCCCCAGTGAGCTCTGTACATCTATCTGAGCTGATTGATTTTCAGCCAGTTTTCTGTGGGATGAGTTCAAATTCCCCAGCCTCAGGTATGAGGAAGTTTAATTCACTAAACTACACAGCAATCCATCCACAAGCCTTTCAGGAAATGCAGTGGTATGAAAATGAAGACTCGATGCTTTGCTTGCTAAATTTACTTTTGTGGATACCTGTTGCCCATAAACCATAAAGATGCATGGGCTACCCTAGGGGCAGGACATACAACAGAGTTAGTAAGAAACCGGAGGGGATGGGAAACAAAGACCAAGGAATGAATGAAGAAAGATGGAGAAGAAAGGAAAAGAGATGAAGACAAAGTAGTGGCGTGCAGTGCAGAGATGCCTGATGACTATGGGGTAACCAGCATGTTTTGGGATCTTGTTCAAGCAACTGGTCTCAAAACTGGCCTGTTCATAAGGAATGCCAGCTCTGAACCATAACACAAAAAACATGTAAGACTATACCAAACATTTTTAGGTTCATGGCATCTTTTGCAAAGACCTTTTATTCAGTGTTCTGTGATACTTCTTGTTTAATTGCCCTGGGTTAATCAGATGTCACCTGCTCTGCAAGAATGTGCAATCAAGAGAATTATAGTACAAGATTCACCATAGCTTCAAATGGACCCTCGATATTTGGTATCCAGAATGATTTAACAAACTATAGTTAATGGAAATGTGCAGGGCTTAGGGTTCATCTAATGTGTAAATGTTCACCCAGAACTAGAGCTTGGGGGAGAAATTACCATCACTTTTGAGAGCACGTACAATAAATACTGACATTGTCATCCTTAAATAGCTTCTGTCAGAGACACAGCAGCATCATGCAAGCTCTGGAAACAAACACCGATCTATAGACTTTGAAAACAAGCTTAATACCCTTCGAGAGTAGACAGGACCTCAGTTCTTAAAGAGCCCGTGGGGCTTCTTCTAATATGAAGACATTTGCCTATGACCCTGGATCAATATTTCCCTTCTTCCCACTGTCAGACAGCATCTTCTGCATGCAATGTCAAATAACTTCATTCCTAAGACCTTTCCCTTCTGAAAACTATACTAGGTCCAGCAAGGGTAAGTGCTAACAAAAGGAGCGGGCAAGGGACTTCAGTTCATGGAAAGGGAAAAGAGAAAGACAGTAAAGCCAACGGG